GGAGCAGAAACGGCGGCGGCACGACGCGCAGCAGCTGCAGCAGCTCAAGCACCTGGAGTCCTTGTGAGTCCTCGCCCGACCTTCTGGAAGGAAGCGGGGCCTGCAGTCGGTTGGTTTCCTGCGCGGGGCCGGGGCGTCGCCCGGGCGCCGTGTTGGTGCGTTAGGCGGGGGTCCTTGGAGTCACCGGACTGGGCAGGTGGGCCGAAGATCGCCCCTTCCCCGTGCGACCGCACCCACGCCCTCCCCGTCGGACCCCAGCAGTAACTGGCCGCCGACCATTGTCCGGTGTCGCGGCCGTTGGACTTTGGTCCTTGTGTGGCCCGAAAGGGTCCCCTCCCTCGAGTCCTTGGAGCCCGGCCTCGGCCCGGAGGAGGAAACGGAGGCTCCACCCCGGGCGGCCCCACCGAGGCACACGTGGGTCGGTGGGTTTGGCTCTTCTGAGTTTCTCACTCCCAGTGCTGCCATGTTTGTGTTCAGTTTTGGCATCGCCAGGCACTCGGTAGTAGCATTGGCTGGAAGTAGTATTAGGCGCGCAGTATTTCTGGAACTGAGTGAAGCAGGAGTTCCGCCGAGCCTCGGGCTTCGGTTCAAATCGTTCCCCTGCGAAAGGAGGAAATCTCCATTCTTTCCTGGTGTTTAAAATAGGGTTGGAGACCAGGCTGAAAAGCCTGGCTGCCCTGTGGCAGAGTCGGGGCTGTTTCTCTCTCGTCTGTTTTGACCAGGACCCGAGAGTGGAAGCTTCAGAGAGGCAGTTTCTGCTCAACATAAGGAAGAACTTAGGACCAGCTGGTCAGCATGGCCTGGTTTTGTAAACAATTGGGTTAGGCTTGGGTTTTGTTTTTGTGCCCCTGTAAAGGAACCCCGGTGGAGCAGTAGTTAGGCATTCTGCTGCCAAAAGGTTCAAACCCATCAACCTCTGGTCAGGAGAGAGCTGGGGCAGCCCGCGCCCCCAGCACCACAAGGACAGCGCAGCTCTAAGAGACTGCTAACTGGCCAGGTCAGCATTTCGAAACCACAGGCCCATTCGCCAGAAGAGACCGCTTTCTGGTCCCGCAAAAGTGAGTCCCAGAAACCCACAGGGGCAGTTCAGCCCTATCCTATAGGGTGTCTATGAGTCGGCACTGACCCCATCGCAGTGAACAGCCATTCTTCAAAAAAGGTATTGATTCATGCACCTGTAGGAGGTTGCACTAATGACTAAGTTCATTTCAAAGAGTCTGTGACCCTATAATTATCTCTAGAATTCCAACATTTTCTAATTTACCATGCCCACTGAGTTATTCAATAAATTTTAGGCTAGGTTGATCCTGTAAGGAATAAGTGCGCCAGTTGTTAAAATCCTTCCTAATTAACCTGAGAGCTTTGATGCAAAATGCAAAAGATCACAGGCCAGTGGGTAGAAAGTCCTTGGATCCAGTGTCATTGGAAATATCTCAGCGCTGGCAGGGGTCTCTGCATAAGGGTGGATCCGTGTCTTGTCAGCTATATCTCCCAGCGTATGAACAGTCTCCCATCTCCAAAGAGGAAGTACCGGATTTCCCAGAATTCTCAGAAGGCCGTGCCCACACAGAGGCCTCATTGGTTATGATCTGATTGACAAGGTAGACTCCACCCCTACGCTCTTAATCCTCAAATTGACAATTATATATCTACCACAAACCCTGATGCACACCTTTCCTGATTTTAAAGCACGTTTTTCTGTTCGAACTCTTTGTCTGTGTATAGCTTCTGCATGACCACAGTTAATTGTTCTGGGTAACATTCTTGCCAATGTTACCCGTAGTTTATGCAGATACCTTTGCATAGCCAATGAAAAAGAGCTAAACATCTCTGGTGTTTTCTAATTTAAGATGAGATCTAGTGGGTGTCATCAGTGATATTCCTTGTTCCATGTCCTCTTGTGAATCCTAGCTGGACTTTCTCGCTACAACCCCTTTGTAAATTATCTCCAGCAGAATTTTACTTGAGTGATAGTTTTGAACAGTGGGTTAAGTGCTTGAATACGAACCAGTAGGTTGGTGGTTCAAGCCCCCCAGCTGCTCACTGGGAGAAAAATGTGTGTCTGCTTCTGTAAAGTCACACCCTGCGAAACCCAAAGGGGCTGTTAGGTTGCTACTAGTCTGAATCAACTCAATAGCAGCAGGTTTGGTTGGGGTTTTTTTTTAGGGTGTGTGTGTGTGTGTGTGTAGGGTACCTGAAGGTGCTGGTCTACTGAGTGGTTTCTCTAAAGAAGATACAGGGGAGTTTCAAAATGTTAGTGGGAAACTGGAATTAAAAGATAAAGGTACTTCAGTACTTTTTGAAGTCCCCACAGTGTTGTGGGTGAATAGCGAGGGAGTGAGCTGAGTAGCCCAGTGTTCAGACTAAGACTTCATGCCTGTCCTAGCCAGTGCTCACCCCGTTTCCCACCCTCACCTTGCCAGTAGGCCTGCATGTTTCACAGGGACTGAACCTGCAGCTTTCTTCCAAGACAGACAGGCTGTGTCTGCAGAATTCTCATCTTCCGCAGGTTAGCACTGCCTCTTCCTAAAGAAGTTATTTCCCACTTCCTGTCGCTTGCCTCTGCCTTCCCTTATGCGTTGAAATCTTACTCTGCTTATATCTCCCGTCGGGATGTTTACATTTCTTTAAAAAGGACTGTAACTTTTAATTCCTTGAATATTATTTTAAGGGAGTCTTGAGGTCCCTGAGGGAACCTTGGTGGCATGGTGGGTATGCTTTGGGCTCATCCACAAGGTCAGCAGTCCAAAACCACCAGCCAGTCTGTGGAAGAAAGATGGGGCTTTCTATTTTCCATGAAAAGTTACAGCCTCGGAAAGTCACAAAGGCTCTTCTACCCTGTCCTAGAGGATCACTGTACGCCAGTGTTGACTCGAGGGCAGGGAGTTTGGTTTGCGTCTGAGAGGTCTCTGGGTGGGACAAATGGTTTGTTCTTGCTAAACAACTGAAGACTGGTGGATTGAACCCACCCAGCTGTGCCACTGAAGAAAGGCCTGGCGCTCTGCCTCCATGCAGACGGCAGGCAGGACAGTTTTCGGGAGTGCAGGGCTACTCTCTACCATGTGGGGTCACTGAGTGAGAATCAGCTCAGGGTGTGGAGTTTGGGGTGGGAGTCTGGAGTTTGGGGTGGTCGTTCGGCTGTGCTAAATGGAGAACCTGCTGATGGGCTTATACAAAATTGGATTAAAATCCTTTTATTCTGGACATGCCTTTTTCAGGTCTTCTCCATCCCCGCTGACCTGCTTCTCTTTGCCCTTACCAGCCACGCCCCTGAAAGCACCTGAATCCAGCCCCATGCTCTGGAGAGCACCCTCTCCCCTCTGTTTTCTCTCCCTCCCTTTACCCTGTCCCATAAATGTACCTGGGCTGCCAGGCAAAAGCAAACTGTGAGTGTGGGTGTGTTAGGCTGCATTGTCTAGAATAACAAATTTGGTGATGTGTGGGTACAGGGGTCCCCACAGTCGAACAGGTCCTCAGGAGCGACTCTGGGATTGTGGAACATATTAAAGATAGACACAGCCATCCGGGCACAGGGGCTCCAAGTCCCTATGTCAGGACCGAGAGTGAATGTAATTTCCAATGGGTGCAGATGATGGGGCTTACTGACCTTTCAATACGATCATACAGCGAGCATATTAATGTTCATTAATATTAATTAACATAGTTAATGGGTCATATCGTAAGCGAGTAACATAATAAACAAGCAGTGAGGTGAGTCATCTTGACCTTGTGCTAGTTAACCTCCAACATTGCTGAGCACTCCCCAGGGCAGTAATCTATGATCACAATCAGCAAGCGATGGCAGGGTTGGCTCTAGATTGTGATTGCTGGTATCTACAGAAGACCTCCAGGAATAGTGATGTAACCAGACACAGGAATGATGTATCTTATATGGTAGCTCCTTTATGACAGTTCCTTTATGGGGTGTTATTGGAAGGACTAAGTTCAGTCATGAGAATGTATATTAAGTTTTATTTATATCTAAAAACCATGAGAGTCTTCCCCCACTGGAATCGGCTTTCCAGACCTGTAATTATGAGCATAGAGGATTTAGCTGCATTATACTCTCATCCAGTCCCTCAGTGTACCACATAGTGACACTCGGATGTATAAGAAAGAGCTTTATATCAATAAGGCAACCCAGTCCAGTTCAACTCCAGCCCATAAGTCCCTCTTCCAACTGTGGGCTCATGTCGCAGAAAAGTGAAGCAGGAGATCACCGACTGGTGGGTGTAGAGTCCCATGGATCCCAGGCTGGTGGAAACATGGCAGACAAGCACAGCTCTCAGAGTTGGGCCCCCTACATGGGGACACAGCTTGAGTTAGACACAGAATCCCAGCGAGCAGGAAGGCAAAGTGGCAGAGAGAGAGAGAGAGATCGTCTGTCCTACTCTTGTACAAAAGGCTTATGACATTAAGGAGATGTCATCGGGCTGCAACTTGATTGACAAGTTTGACTCTATCCCTAGCAAGGAGCGTCAGTGGACATAACCCTGACTACCACTGTGTGTGTGTGTGTGTGTTTCATTTCTACTTTCCAATCCAATAGGAACCTGCTGTAAGAACAGTTTTGTGGAATGGAGTACACTTACATGAGAGCCCTTCTAAATGAAAACTCACCCCAGCACTCTCAAAGGGGTAATGTAAAATGCCTGGAAAAAGTAAGAATTCTTGCCTTGTCCACACTTGGAAAGATAATATTTCTTCCCTTTTACATAAATTTAGTCTATACACTGCTCAGCACAAATTATTATAATCTGATTTAACAGCAAGGTTCTATAGCTAGATAGCACCCCAAAATGGGCCTCCACCATTTTTATGTGGGTGTAATTTTAAGATTTCACTGAGGGTCTCGTGGGGTAATGGGGTACATATTGAACTGCTTAACACAAGGTCAGCAGTTTGAAACCACTAGCCAGCCGCTCCTTGGGAGAAAGACATGGCTTTCTGGTTCCATCAAGAGTTACAGGCTCAGAAACCCACAGTTACAGCTCAAAGACCAAGCTCAGTAGCTGTCTACCCTGAGCTATGGAGTCACTGTGAGTCAAAATCAACTCTGTGGTAGAGTTGGGGCTTTTTTGGAAAAATTAACTTGATAGAAACAGTCTTCTCAAATGTCACCATGCAAACCCAGACTACACAGTAGGCACACCACTGGTAAAATATTACTGTAAACTTGGAGGTTGACCCTTTAAATTATACTACAGAGACTAATGAAGTGTTTGACCCAGGCGGGGACAGAAAACACCAATGGCCTTCCTTTAAACGTGTGGGGAAAGCTGGAAAAGGGACCTTTTAGTTCCCTATTGCTAATATATTTTAGCTCCCATTACTGATAACAATAGATTTAAAATAAGCAATCCCCTCACACCCCCTTTCATTCTTGGCAGGAACGATTACATATTTTTCAGGAATTTGGATCTCAGTTTGGTTTGCCATATGTTGTTTATACGGCGGTTGTGGTTCAAAGAATAAGATTATTGAGTATTTAGAGCCTGTGCCACCAATACCCATAGATCCAGAATCAGCCCGCGGGTCATCTTCTCCCTAACTCTTCCCCGTGTTCTCCTGCGTTTCTCATCTTCCCCCCAAAGTTATTTCACTAAGACAAGTTAGTGGCTAAATTCAAATCCTATGTGTCCGCAGGGTGTGCTGTAGCACGAGCTTACTGATAACGTGTTTCCTCGGTACTGAGCGTACTACGGTAACTTTTAGATGTCATGTCACTTTAAAGTTCTTCACGGAGGAGATTCTTTTCATTTTGTCCCGCTCGCTTTTTGCTCAGTAAAAATTCATTATGCTCCTATTAAGATGATTGATGGATTTTTTCTCTCCCTTTCTAGCTATGAAAAACCTCCTCCAGGGCTTATCAAGGTTAGTATGTGAATTCTGTACTCTTGCTTATTCTCTTACCCATTTGAGGAGGTTTCAAAAAGTTCCATTATAGAAAATTCCCTTCTTTCAATTTCATTTTCCATAATCTTTTGAAACAGTCCCTGTATACATAGAAACTTACTAGTTGGGATGAGGAATAATTGTATAAGGCATTTAAACTTCCTTTTTTAAATACCCTGCAAGGAGCACTGGTGGTGTAATGGGTTACAAGTCACAAGGTCAGTGGTTCAAGCCCACCAGCCACTCTGCAAGAGAAAGATGAAACTGTCCTCCTGTAAAGATTGGCAGTCTCAGAAACCCAGAGGGGCAGTTCTGCCCTGCCCGGTGGGGTCGCTGTGAGTCTGCATGGACTCAGGGCAGGGAGTCTGGGTGGGTTTGGTTCTTCTTTACAGATGCAGGTAGATGATGCATTTGGGCTTTGTAGAAAGATAATCAGTCACGTTTCTCTCCCCCAAGTTATCACTGCCTAAAGAAATAAAGCAACGAAATCAAACTCTCTGCCACGGCGTTGATTCAGACTCATAAAGACCCTTTAAGACAGAGTAGAACTGGGCTTGTGGGTTTTCGAGACTGGTACTCTTTAGGAGTAGAACGCCTCATTTTCCTCCCCAGGAGCCGCTAGAGGTCTGACCTTGAGATTACCAGTCCAACTCGTAACCTATGACACCAGGAGCCCGGAAGGTTATCACCGACGCCCCTGTGTTTTCTTCAGCCATTGCCCCTCTCTTTCTCACACACAAATGCATCTGCAGAAAACTGCTGTCCTGTTGTCATTGTCTGACTCACCAGCCCAGCCCTCAGAACACCCTCTGCTGTGTCAGCCCCTCCTAGTGCCTGCAGTTCTAATCAGCTTAAAAATGGGAGTGTGAGAAGGTGAGCGCATGCAGGCCAGCCTCTGTGGGGTACGAACCCTGCTCCAGCGCCCTGGCAGAGTGCCCATGTCTCGGTTCAAGTGAAACTTAACAGTAGCAGCAGTCAGAGACCCAAGCGACTTGAAGAAAACATAGATCTGTGAACCAGACCCATCCATTATTAATTTAATATTCATGGAAATGTACATTTAAAAATAGCATCTTAATTGTAAATGCAGGTATTCAGTGATGAAACTGCATTTTGAGCTTATAGCATGTGCATGACTATAAGTCATGACAGAGGCCTTCAAGGTATAAGCAGCTATGTTTAAAAAATTTTTTTAAGATTATTGGTCAGATAAAGACTGTGGTCCCTATTCACCCTTCAGGAAATGAACTCACCCATGGCTTAATTTTCAGGCAGACTGTAAACTGGTCTTTAAGGGAAGTAATAATACTAAGGAAGTATGCACACCTTAAAATAACCAATCATTGGAAGTCAAAAGGGCAGCCCTTATCCAGGGACAAAGTTCCAAAGGGTTAGGAAAGAAGGAAGAATGGAACCAGGAAGCACAGGGAAGAAGTAGGGTATATGGAACTAAAGAAGACATTTTATGTTTCTTAATATCTTTTTAATAATCCATACTATTTGTATTATTCTAGAAAAGCTTAACTTGTTTGCTCTGTGTTCCTAAATGTGGCCTCATTCCACCAAGATTTCCCGTTAGTAAAAGCCATTTTGTGATCTTCTCATCGACACAACACCAGAATTTAGGGTGAGCTCACCGATCACTCCTATGTAAAGAACTCTAGTAATATTCTTTTCAAAGAACAGCTACCTCTCCCAATGCAGTTCTTCTGGAACATTCAGTGCCCCCTTGGACCACATATAACTTGCTGTGGGACTGCTGCCCTGTGAGAAAGTCAGGCCTTGGGAGAATTCAAGTGGCTCGTTTTGTTTTGTTTTGGCCTAATTGTTCACACATTGTTTCCCTTGTTTAGGAAGATGAGACTAAGCCAGAAGACTGTATACCAGATGTACCAGGCAACGAACATGCCCGGGAGTTTCTGGCCCATGCACCAACTAAAGGACTATGGATGCCACTGGGAAGAGAAGTCAAAGTTATGCAGTGTGAGTGTGGCAGTTTCAGTAACACTACCCAGACACAAATAGCGAGTTACAGAGCACAGTTTACAATGCATACTTAAATTATTTAATTGGATTCACTTCTCAAACAGCCCTGTTAAAGATCCCCATTTTATAGGTAAGAAAGCAGACTCATAGATATTGGTAAGTTGTTCAAGGTAAAAGGAAGAGCAAAGCTTTGAATCCAGGGCTTCTGACCTCAAGTCCAGTCACTGGTCTTGCCGTAGTTGCCTTTGGAGTGCATGCGCCAGTAGCACTAAGGATCTTCCGTGATGGAAGTGCCATGGGGACAAGAGGTGCTGGTGGACGATCCCTTCGGGTTAGGCCTCAGTAGATCATTCCAGGTTATTAAATATACCCTCCATGAAGAATTTGCAGGAGAAAGAGGAGGCTTTCTGCTCCGGCAAAGATATACAGTCTCAGAACCCACAGGGGCAGTTCTACTCTGTCCTTTATGGTCGCTATGAGTTGAAAGCCCTCGCTGGCATTGATTTTGGTTTTTAGTGTTTTTTTTATTATGATTGTATTCAGAGTTCGTCGTCCACTAACGTGAATAAATTTCCTTTCCTGTACCTTGCATGTTTTGTATTTCCTACAATGAATCATTGTGTTTTTGTTCTCTCTGCTCTCTTTTCTTATACTGATCACTAGTTCAAGACCTTCAGATGCTGGAGGGGCTCTGTCAGTCTTATCACTCTGATGATGATTGGTCCCCTGCTGTTGTCCACGGTCTCGCTTCACTGTCATGCCCCGCCCCCCTTCCCTTTGCCTCTCTCCTGTGTTGACGTCCTATTTCCTGTATCTCATGCCGTTTCCTTGTTATACATTCTGTTGTTCTGGTAGAGCACATCTCCGGTAGTTTCCTGACAAAGAAGTTTATGAGAGAACTTATTTTTATGGAAGAACTTATTTATACTTTTGAGAATTTACTTTTCTGTAAACTTCTTTGTTACAGATATTTCCATTTGCCAGGGTATAAAATTCTAGATTAAAAACCATCATCCATTACCTTCTTGTTTCTAGAGTTAATGCTGAGCCGCCAAAACCATTCAGGGTCCGGATCCCGGGGTGTGCCCTGGGTTGTTGTTAGAGCCGTGGAGTGCTTCTTTCCCTCTGGAAGCTCATGAGACGGATGGCCTCCTCTCCAGTGTTGTGAAGTTCCACAAATTATGTGCTTCCCTCTGTGTTTGCAAACCTACTCTTCAAATAGTGCACTTCCTAGAATGGTTTCCCAGTGTCTTTTCCTCTTCTGTTGATATTTTTGTTATATCTCCTAGAGTATTTCTTCAACATTACCTTCCAAGCCTTTTATTACGTTTTTTGTTTTTTCTGCTATCATATCAATTTTTTTTACTGGACAAGTGAGGGGTTTTTTTTTGTGTGTGTGTGGTTTTTTAATCTTTTTTTTTTTTCCTAGTTCCTTATTTATTTATTTATTTTAACATTTTATTAGGGGCTCATACAACCAACTGTTATCCCAATCCATACACACATCAATTGTGTAAAGCGCATTTGTACATCGTTTCTCAAAAC